CTTAGCTCTATTATTCTTTAACTGTGTTTAACAGTAGCATAGCAGTTTGCACTATTTTCATGGGAATATACAGACAGAACAGCTCTCTTCATTGCAATACACTGTCTTTCCCCAGAGTGCTTCTACTATTTATACCTACCTAATCATGGATCATAGCTCACTGACCCAATAAAGTCCAACATCCTAGGGCTCCTGTCACTTCTATAATGTATATAGTTGGGGTTTTAGCAAGTCTCCAAAGTTTTATAGCTAACCTTAGTTTTCCAGAAAACTTAGTAAAGTCATAATTGGGAGGAGAGGTAATAAGCAAACAGTCTTGTTAGAGCTCCTTGCTCCTTCTGTTAAATAACCTCAGAAGTTAGGATTTGTTTTTGGCTGAGTCACTTTTTGTTGTTGTTAATCCTCACCCAGAGAAATTTTTCCATTGATTTCTTAAAGCAGAGAGAAAGGAAGGGAGAGAGACACAAGAAAAACATCATGTGAGAGAGACACATCTATTGGTTGGGTCGGGGGAGCGACCTGCAATTCAGGTATGTGCCCTTGATCTCAATCAAACCCTCAACCCTTCAGTCCTCGGACAAACGCTCTATCCACTAAGCGAAACAGGCTAGGTCATTCTAACATACAAATGTCTTTAGGAAAACTAGGAATGGCAGGAAAGGCACACAGTTGGACTAAGATAAATCTATGTTTGAATCTGAATTTGGTCACTCCTTAGTTGTTTAACCTTGACCAAATCTGTGTAACATCTTTAAGTTTCAACTTCTGCTTCAGCAAAATAGGTAAAAATAAAACACCGCTTAGCTCAAAAGATAGTGGGGAGGATGTAAGGAGAATGTGAAGTGCCCAATACCTAAGTAGCCAATAAATCAGTTACATTACCTGAGAGAAATACTGAGTTGAAAACTCTAGAGAATCCTTATTACATGAAAGAGACCATTAACACTTCTTGGAAGTCTCCTTTATAAATACCAGACACTTTGTTGGGCACTTTTTCATACTGTCTTAATTAAATCTTAAAATATCCGTTAAGTATTGTCCCCATTTCCCTGTTTTAAGAGTTTAAATAACTAAGCAGGTACAGAGGTGGTAAGTCTATATTCGAATCCAGGTCGTTCTGACTCAAAACCCTGGGTAGGCTCTGGTTACTGTGTGCTTTATGTGGATGGCTACTTATGAAAACATATGCTGCTTTCAAACAGTGGTTTCAACTAGAAAGAAGTTAGAATTGAGGACAGTTTTACAAACATAATAAATTCCTAAGTGAACACTGATTTATAGATCTTAATCAAGCCAACCATCATAGTTATTAAGGTTTGTTATCTAAAAGACCACAAATAATAATTTCAAGAATAATTGTCCTTATACAGAAACCATTATTACAAAACCTAAGTCATCAAAGGTAAGCCATAGTATGGGCCACCCATTGCACACACACTATAATACAATCTTCAGCTCTGACCAATGACCTGGGCTATTGCTGAAACCATTCCAAGATACCTTAGTGGCACTTAATTCACTTAGGGATTGAGTGCCTGTTGTATAAATAGCATTATTTACAGTAAACTCCTGTAAAAGTCCAAGACAAACCTACCCTATAATAAATTTGACACTTTATTTATATTCAAGATTGAGGTCCTAAGTGGTATACAATTCATATGTAATCTAAAAATAAGTTAAAAGTACTGTATAAATTATAGCTCTTCCCAAACTTATTTCCAGTCAGATGACCAAATTTGAGAATCATTAACAAAAACTTTTAGCAGAAAACAAGGTTTAATTCTTCAATATTTCAAAAGTCAAGGATAAAGGAATACTTCTTATAACTCAATCTTAAGTGTATTCCAAAAATTAAACTCCAATATTGTTTACAAAGCATACCAGCCATGGGTGCTAATTTACAAAGCACATAATTTACATTTGTGGTTTTAAAGCTCTTTTTGAAAAACACATTTAGGAGTTTGATAAAAGCCTTTCTCCAAAAATGCAAACATGCCTATGCATATAAAATGTTACATGCCCTCGAAGTCCAAATATAGTTCCCCTCAATTTATAGGGAACTCACCAACCTCAGATAAAGACCCCTTAGTTAGGAAATCATTTACATTTTTAAGAGATCTTTCTCCTAGCTTTTCAATAGCATGGTCCCTTGAGTAATTTACATTTGTCATTTTATAAAAACTTATTTACCCACAACTTGACATTAACAGGACACTTCTTCCAAACCCTTTAAATTCTTGCAATACTAAAAACAAACTCTGGTATCCTTTGTCCACTAATATTAAGAATGCTCACAAGATGTGTGGCCCTGAACTAGGGGGTGGCAAAGAAGAGAATTCCAAGATATTGTCAAGGCCAGTGACCTTGAAAAGTTTATAATCTATTTGCACAGTCTGTTCTATTAAAAAAAACACACACACACTCCTTTCAACAATTTACTGACCATTTTGAACAAAAACAGGTGTAGTTTTTAAGATGAAACCATTAGCCCTAGCAGATCTGGCACAGTTCATAGAGCATCGGCCTGTGGACCAGAGGGTCCTGGGTTCGGTTCTAGTCTCGGTTGCAGACTCCTACCAGGCCCGGGGCTGTGCAGAAGGCAACCAATTGATGTGTTACTCTCACATTGATGCTTCTCTCTGTCTTTCCCTCTCTCTAAAAATCAATGGACAAATATCCTCAGGTAAGGATTAAAAAAAAAAAAAAAAAGATGAAGCCTTTACATGGATAGGAAAAGCAATTCTGTAGAAAAAGAAACCAGAAAATAGAGTCACAGAAATTAAAGAAATAACACGACCAAACAACTACATTTTTAAAGTAACTTATACCTAAGAATGTGTCTGATTTAGCAAATACACCTAGCTTAAAAAACTAGCCAACTTCACAAGTCAACTTGAAAACTGGAAATACAAAAACATTGAATTAGCTGTAATTACTAAATTCAATAGAATTAATAACTCAAAAATGACACATTCTATAAAGATTTTACCTACCAAAAAAATTTACTGCAAAATATTAAGACAGCAAAGATTTAAGCAGCTGGGGAACAAAAAACATGGCTGGTATGTTATACACCCCCATTATCATGCCCATGGCAGACATCACTAATTAATCACACCACACTTTCCCCCCATTGAGTCTCATAATTTCAACAGAACCTTCCAGTAGAAATCAGGAGGGCATTAAAACTGAACCTGTTTATTTCCTTGACAGCTGTTTTAAAAATACTATTCAAGTCAACTAAATGAAGCACCAAAAGTTTATGTATTTAACGTTCAATGAATTTATACTAAATTTTATTTATTTTGAGGTGTTTCCCAACACACAAAATCTTCTTTAAAAGTTTAAAAATTTCTTTATTAAACAGAATAAAATACTATGGTCAACATAACTTTATTAGTAAAAAATACATTTTTAAAAATGTAAACACCCTCCCCCATGAAAGGGTTCTAGAAAACTGCAACTAACTATACTTTTGGCAGCCTTCATTTTTTACCCAATTTGAATTAAAAAAGGACAAAATAACTTTTTCTGAGTATTAATAAAATAAAATCAGACATGCCTATAAGACTTAGGGATTAAAAAATACAAAGTATAATACATATGTATAAATCAAGTGAGAGAAAGAAGCACTAACTTTGTTCTTAAAATTTCAATGAAATACAGGTCAATATTAGAAATACTCTAAAGAGAATGTATGTGGCCATTTAAGATTTCTGTCCCTTACAAAAAACAATCCTAGGTAGAACAGACTCCAGAAAGGAGATGATACCAAAGGAAATAAAAACCCTGGAACGCTAGGATCATATTACAGGTGGGTGATGTTTAGCATAAACTACACTAATGGGAAGGAGTGAAAACCTGGATTCAGGAAGTTGTATGAGAACACTGTGGGGTGAGGAAGAGTTATTTCCTAAATCCTCAAATCTAGCAAAGAAAGACCATATTCTAAAAACCAGAAGGCTCCAACTTCCTGGCCTCAATAGCAGTATTCAAGTATTATATAAATATAGAAAAGGTTAACAGATGACAACACAATGTCAGGAATATAAACACTATTTACCTACCCAAGTCCAACCTCAATTGGTACTGATACTAAAAATAATAAATTGCTCTGAGAAAGTATCTTTTAGTGTCCATTAGAGGAAACTGAGTATATGTGAAAATACTTTTTCCGTGAAGTTCTTTCAGAAGCTGTAAGCATAAACTCAAATTATATATATTTACGGATTGTAGAACTCCCTATGTATATCCATTCCAATCTTTTCCCTACATTGCACTATACTGCACTACTTTTTGATCCCTAAGTACTAAAGTATACTAAACATTCCTGCCCAGGGCATTTTTTCTCCCTAAAACAGGAGTGAAACACGATCTGTAAAGACTTGAAATATTCCTGAAGTGTGTCTAAAACCTTTACGAAAACATTTGCAACCAAATGTCACTTAGTGCTTTTTCCTCTGCACAGGCCACTTACTTGGAGGACAATGAATTTACAATTTGCTCTAAGTTGCCAAACTACATATGGAGGTAAAAGCAAACCAACTTTACTCCATAAAACAATTTTGAGTAAATGAGCATGACACCAAGAAATGACACCAGGGTTAATGCCTGGGTAGTTATTGCTAGAAAGAGATTTAGAGAGCAAAGAGAAATAAATTCTCACTTAGCTTACATTTACGGGGCGCCTTTTTTCCAAAGTGGCTCTAATCTTAGTGGCAGTACATAAACAGAGCACTTACAATACAGAACCTATCTGATAAATGGGGGAGGACACCTAAAGACTTACCAAAGGTTCTGCAGAGGGCCAGTTAAGGAAAGCCAGTTTTCCTACCACTGAAAGGAATGGAGGGGGAGGCAAGTCACAATAACCCGTCGTCTTCCTGTAACCTTGTCTAGAAAAACAAGTGTCCCAAATGTGCACAGTCTAGAGAGTCTAGACCGAGGCTCCAGCCTTTGGTAACGAGTAACGAAAAGCTGTGACTGAAGCCCCAACTTACCTCCTGGATGCGCTTCCTGGCCCGCTGGAGCACTTCCTCGTAGCCCTTCTGCCGCAGCTCGCTGAGGCTTTCGTAATACTCCTCGGGGTCGTCGGTCTCAGTGAACAGAACCTGGGAGAGGATCTTCCAACCGCAGGTGTCCAGGCCGTGGCCCAGGTAGACCTGGAGCTGGTAACACAGAGTGTCGATCTCCTGCTCCGTCATCTCCGGGGCGCCCCCGAACAGCACGGTCCACATACCCGAGGGCTCCTCGGGGAAGACCGGCAGGCACGGCTCCAGCTGCGAGTTCACAGAGCACAGCTGCTGGTGCACCGCGCGCAGGTCCTGGAAGGAGAAGAGCCCGGCCCAGCTGCACTCCTCGGCCGCGGACTCTAGTTCGGTGGCCGGTGACTCCGGGTCGGAGATCGCCAGGGACGCCGGGGCCGCTTCGTCCTCCCTCACCATTTCCAGCACCTCGATCTCCTCGGAGACCGCCCCGCAGGCGCTCACTACCCGCACCGAGGACACGGGGACCTCCTTGGGCGCCGGGGGGACTGCCGCAGCGGCGGCCCCCGCCACATCTCTGCCTTCCGATCCCTTCCGGGCCGGGGTGGGCTTGGCCCGCACGGGGCTCCGGAGAGGGCTCTCCGCCCCTTTGGCGGCTGAACTCCGCAGCAGCGAATCCCCCCGAAGGTTGCGCGTACTCCGCGGAGAGCCGCTCTCCGCCCAGGCCGGGCTCCTCCGGGGCCCCGGGCTCCTCCCCGGAGTCGCAGAGGCAGTGGCCTCCGGCCGCCCCTTGCCCGCGGGGCTGCCCGGCCCGCGAGTCCCGTCGGACGCGGCAGCACAGGACTCGGCGCCCCCTCGCGTCCCCGCCGGCTCCCGGGAGCCGCTCCTCTGCCTCTGGGCCGTCCGGTTGTGGCAGGTTATGGCAAACTTGCCCTCGATCTCGTTTCAGGCCACAATAAAGACGAAACTTGTGCTTCTCGCGCTCGTCGAACACATGGGGCCGCACAGCCACCCAGTCCGATTCGAGCGTCTCCTCCAGCGCGAACGACATGGTGGCTCCGGCGCCAGGCCGCGGGGGAGGCGACGCTGGTCCTGCCCGCCCGAGGACTCACCGGCTGGCTGCGCCGCGCCCCCCGCTCACCCTCGCCGGGCGCCTTCAGCCATCTTAGCGTCCCAGCCGGCTCTCCTCGCTCGGCCGCCCGTCCTCTCCGCACTCGGACCCGCCGCGCTCCTTTGTGGACCGGCTCGCGGGAGAGACAGACAATGCGCGTCCCTGGAGCAGGTAGTTCACATGGTCACGTGCAGCCGGATCTGTTTACAAGCCCCGCGCTGTGGCAGCGCCCCGCGCCCGCCCGCCCGCCCACCGCGCGAGGCCGCGGTGCTGCGTCTGCGGCGCCCAGGAGGTAAGACGCGGGTCCCGCGGGGCCGGCGGTGTGTGCGTCTCCTCCGCTCGCCCGGGCCGATCTCCCCGCCTCCTCCTCTTCCCGACCGCGCGGAGCTGTCTGACGGATGGACGCGTCTCCTCAACTCTGAGCTTCGGTATCGCCACAATGTTAGCATTCGGCTGCTGACGTCGGCGGCTCCACGAGGGACGTAAACACCGGCACGTGCCGCACGCTGGTGACGCGGCGGCGGCGGCGGCGCGCACACCCCGCCCGCGCGCGCCGGCGCCGCCCCTCGGCGTCTCCCCGCCCCTCCCGCGAGCACCGCGCTCCGACTCTTTCCTCCCTGAGCTCCGCCGCCGCCTCCCGCAGGCTGCGGGGTCTGAGGGGGTTAGAGTGACAGGTGTGCCCGCGGGCCAGGTGGCCTCCGAACCCCGGGGGAAAAGGAGCAAAGGCTGAGGAACGGAGACTTTTCGAACTCCAGCCGTTCAAAGGGGGCCCTCAAATGTAAGTCTGCCTCCATCCCCCTGGGGGGAGTCGGGATGGAGAAGTCCTGTGTTCTGTACTCCGTAACATCACGCGAACCTTGTGATGAACTTTTGGGGTTCCCCCAAACTGTTGGATGTACCCTCACACTCTCGAGACACAATTTCATCGGTGTTTTATTGCTTCAGGTTTCATCATTGTGCAGTTCTTTGTGCAGTTCTTTGAGCCTCATTTTGAGATCATTGGTTTGAGCACTTTTGAAGTTGTGTTCAATTAGGAATTCCCAGAATGCACATGCAAAAAAAAAAAATCATGTAAATCTGGAGAATGCTGCTGTCCATACTGAACTATGATAAAACATTCTTGAAATATCCTAGTGGATCTTATGATCCAGTGTACGTTATTGGCATTTTTTTCTTATTCGTGTCCAATTCATGCTGCAGGTATTCTGCATCCGCAGTAAAGTACAAGGAGAATTCGTCCTTTAACTTTTATACATATTTCAAAAACATATGCAAAGTCGCTTGAATTAACCGTGCATTGTCAGCTACACTTACTTGACTTCAGTGTTGTCCTGACATCTGACTAAACAGCAAAAGTTTTAGCCCCGTCACTCAGCAGGACATTTTAGACCTATGGATCTGCTTTGACAATGAAAGGGAGGGGGGCACTTTGGGCAGGATGAGCCAAGAGGGAACAGAACTGGCTTTTAAACCTTTTTGTAGTTCTTTATGTGGAACCACACATTTTCAAAGCTTGTAAATGAACTTGTGTCAACTCTCAGATGCAAATCAGAGAAGGTAGGAAGAAAGAAAACCCATCACAAATAGTTATCACCATCTAAGCAAACAATAGCACATTATAGAAAAAAATTTTCATCTTTTCTACTGAAAAGTTACTCCTGAAAGTTTTTCCTGATAAAAAGTGGGCATAATCACTAGGTCTCTTCATGTAATACATTATGGGTAAGTCTGAATAAGAATAAGCAAACAAAGAATATGTTTATAGGAAACATTTTTATTTATATGTATTGCAGTGTTTATCCACAGATATAAAATTATGCCTTATCACTGTAGTGCTAAAGAAACTTGACTGGTGGTCACACGGGTATTAAATATTTTCCCCTAGTCCTCTGGCCACTGTGTTTTGTCAAAAGGGTTGTTTCAGTGGTTCTTGTTTCCTCTATCTAAGTAATTGTTACACTAGAAATGAAAAGAAACAAACAAAAATTCCCATGGAAGGCTACTGTAGTACTCTACAATTCTTTGTTTAGGTCTGTATCTGATTGTCAAGCGAGATCTCTGAGTGTATAAATTACTCCCTGGGAATACGTAAAGCTACAGAAAAGGGGTTGAAAATGTTTATCTCTTGCAATTTTTTTAAACTGCTGTGAATTGTTAGGTAATCTGGGAAATGCTTTAACTCTTTAGGTCTTTTAATAAAAACCATACTAGTTTACATAGTGATTTTCAAATTTCATAGCATTTTCCTGCACATATTTATTTTATCTTTATAATAATCATATAATATAGGTATGAAAGGAATAAATCTTTACATTTTATATATAAAATAGTTTGGATTAGTTAGGTTAAACATCCCAGGATTGGGAGCAGGGGACAACTTGAGTTGGAGGCCTAATGGACATCTGTTCTAGTTAGATTCTCTCAGAAGCAGACACTGAAAAGTCAGGAATGTCCAAATGTATTGGAGGGTAGTGGATGGTAACACCTGCGAAAGAAAAAGGACTGAAGTAGAATTGGAGCTCCAGACCAAAGATTAGGTGTGTGTTTTTTAAATTTTATTTTTCAATTACACTTTACATTCAATATTATTTTGTATTAGTTTCATGTATGCTGCATAGTGTTAGACAATCATAAACTTTACAAAATATTCCTCCCAATATTTACAGAACCCACCTGGCACTGTGCATAGTTATTACAATATTATTGACTATATTTCTTATACTGTACTTAACATCCCCTCTGTACTTTTTAATCCCTTCACCATTTTCACCCAGTCCCCCAACCTGCTTCCCCTCTGGCAACCATCAGTCTGTTCTCTGTATCTATGAGCCTGCTTCTATTTTGTTTGTTCATTTATGTTGTTCTTTAGATGCCACTTATAATGAAATCATATGGTATTTATCTTTCTCTGACTGACATTTCACTTAACACCCTCTAGGTCCATCCATGCTGTCGCAAATAGTAAGATTTCATTCTTTCTTATGGCTGAGTAATATTCCATTGTACATATGTAGCACTACTTTTTTTTATCTGCTCCTCTATTCATGGGCACCAGGGTTACTTTCATATTTAGGCTATTGTAAATAATGCTGAAATGAACATAGGATTGTGTCTGTTCTTTCAAATTAGTGCTTTGGATATATACCCAGAAGTGGAATTGCTGAGTGATAAAGCAGTTCCATTTTTAATTTTTTTTTTTGAGGAACCTCCATACTGTTTTCTTTTTTATTGTTGAATTTATTGGTGTTACATTGGTTAATAAGATGATATAGGTTTCAGGTATACAATTCTATAATACATCATCTGTATATTATATTGTGTTGTTCACCACCCCAATCCATACTGTGTTCTATAGTTGCTGCAGCAATTTGCGTTTTCACCAATAGTACACAAGGGTTCCCTTTTCTCCAAATCCTCACCAACACTTGTTTTTTGATGATTTATTGATGATTGTCATTCTTACAGGTGTGAAGTGATACCTTATTGTGGTTTTAATTTGCATTTCTCTGATGCAAAGATTGTTTCTTTTTTCTTTTTCTTTTTTTATTGATTTCAGAAAGGAAGGGAGAGGGAGAGAGAAATAGAAACGTCAGTGATGAGAGAGAATCATTGATAGGCTGGAGAATTCTCTTGCTCTTTCATTTGGGGGTTGTTTCTTTGTCTCCTCATTTTGGCTGTCTGTTTGGGTTTGTGACTATGTATTCGGTAGATCCTCTTCACCTCTGAATCTCTAGGGCAGGACTGTGTCAAATGCTGTTTCTGATTAAGTAGATCAGGCAAAGCTTCAAAACCTCCAGAGACTGCTGCTGCCTACAGATTGATAGGATTCTGACTTGACTTACCCCAGGGTGGGGCAGTTGCTTCTGCCTGGAGTCTAATTGTTATTTTTAGTCTGTTAAGTGGTCTCAGAGCAAGGTGTTTTCCAATAGGGTGCATCAACTGTCTTCTCCCCAGGCAAGTCAAATGTCTGTTTGGGAAAGATGTCCTCTGCTGCATGAGGGAATGACTCAGCACAGGAAACTAGGGTCATCTGCCTTCTGAGCTCTAACCCCTGAGTCCCCAATCCTGGCTTCTGCTCACACAGCTCTAGTCTACTCTGCTCTCCCTCTGTCAGAGCACAAGGTGGGTGGCTCCACAGGGAATTTTGTGCATTGGTCCTTTAAGAGGGTGCCTGAATTTTCAGCAATCACTCTCTGGCAGACAGCAATCCCGCTGCTTTTCACAGCCAGATGTTATGTGGGTACCCTTCTCAGTTGTGTTCTTTGCTGGGGGACACAGCTTGGGGATTAGATCCCAGAGTTCTCAGTGGCAATCCCCATAGCTGAGATATCTCTCCGGGACTTCAGTTGCTGTCTGTGGGTGCCCGGCCAGTCCTTTAGCGCCTCCGCCCCTCCTACCAGTCCCTATGCAGTCTCCACTTTCGGTGTCAGGGTTCTCTCCTGCAAGTTTTACATTGATTATTCAGGACGTTTTTCTATATTTTATTTTTTTATTGATTTCAGAGAGGAAGGGAAAGGGATAGAGAGAGAAATATCCATGATGAGAAAGAATCATTGATTAGCTGCCACCTGCACGCCCCACACTGGGGATGGCGCCCACAACCTGGGCATGTGCCTTCGGCCGGAATCAAACCTGGGACCCTTTAGTCCGCAGGCTGGCCTCTATCCACTGAGCCAGACCTTTCTGTATTTTAGTTGTAATTCCAGTTTGTTCCTGGGAGCATGTCTGTGCAGCATTCACTCACTCTGCCGCCATTTTTAATCTCTCCCTGATCGGTCTTTTTAAGAAATAGTGCCACACTGGGGGTTCAGTGTTGCTGCTCTGTTGCTGGCAGGTTGAACATTCAAAGCAGACAATTACTAGATTGACCTTCATTAAGTGGGAGTCCATGTTGTTTGACCCATGCAAAGCCTCCATCTCTGCCACTGTGGCCATGTCATATGTTTGCCTTGTCATGCTAGTGAATGTCAACTGTGCAAGATAT